CACCTCTGCAAGGTCTCTGCTAGCTAGGCAGCCTGCCGCTAGTCTACGGCTTGTCACAGCTCGGCGAAAGGCCACCAGTACTGGACTCTGTAAACTTTGCGTCCTTGCCGTTGGTGCGGGCACTCTGCCAAACCGGTAAGAGTCTGTTGGTGTACGGTCTGGCTTGGCTTGGTGCCATGTCGTTGACACCGGACCCCACTCATTCAGACTCGACACCTCCCTTGCGAAGCCTTGCATGCATGGGCAGTTCCTTACTGCTCTATGGACTGTCGTGCATTGGTTCCCTGGCTTCAACACTTGACCTTGTGGGAACTGAATTGTTCCTGCCCCTGCATGGGCCTGCTTACCTTGGTTTGCCCCTTCCGGCATGGGGAACTGCATGCCCAGGCTCACCCCCTTCTGCACCAGACTCTCCACAGTTGGGCTCGAGCTTCCCCCTTCGGAGTTATTTGAGGCTCGACCCAACTCTATTGGCCTACGGATGCGTGCAGCTTGACTTGCCACCCTCCGTGCCAGACCTTGTTCACATCGAGTTCCCGTCACTGCTCCAAAGCTATGCGTACTCGGGAAGTCTTCTGTTGCTTTATGGCATGGCCCGCCTAGAACTGCCGTTGCTTGCCCCTGACTGCGTCAATCTGGAGTCATTGCCACCATTGCAGTCGCTTCTTTGTTCAGACTTGCTGCTGCTAGCTTCTGGCTTCTCACAGCTCGACCTCTCCATGTTTGTCCCTGACCCTGTCCATTCCGGATCAACTCTGCTGCTGCGGGCCTCTGCATGGCCAGACCTCCTCATGTCTGCGTACGGAATAGCGAGGCTCGGTTCGTTCCTGTCGACACCGGATTTTGCAGCTCCGGACTTGTCGTTCCCCTCGCAGAGCCTTTGTCGGCTTGAGTCTTCGATTTCAGTTTTCGGGGTCTCAAAGCTCGGGTTTTCGACTTCTGCACTGGACTTTGCAAACTTGGAATCGGTGTCTTTGCCGCGTGGCCCAATGTGCCTCGGCTTCTTTCTGCTGGCCTATGGCATGTCGATGCTGGGTTTGCCGCCCTTGGTGTCGGACTTTGTTCAGTCTGGGAGTTTGA